ACTACACTTACTAAAAAGAGATATTCATTTTTGACATCCGAGATACCCGACAGAGCCGTTTTCACTACAATCTCCGTTATATTTTCCACGGACGTGAACTCAAAACTATCCCTCCTGTCGTCCTTGCCCCCACCCTACGGGCCCCTCCCCGTAAACCAAACAAACCTTTAATATTATTTGCTCATCCTCCCCAAAAGGCGCAGTAACATTTCCATCACCCCTCCTCCCCTCCCTCACCGCGCAGCCTGGGTAAGGACGCCCGGGGCCTCTCCGCCCTCCTGACCTCAGCCCTCCCAATGGACCGGAGCCCCAGCCGGCTCCTCTTCTAAGGCCACCGGTCCCTGCAGTGGGACCCTGTTTCCTCCGGGACGTCACCTCTTTTCCGGGGGAGGCGGGGGGGGGGTGCCTGACACTGTCTCTTTCCCCATATGTGTCTCTCCCTACAAAGCCAACGTTCCAGAAAGATCTCTGCTTTCTCTTGTATTCGCTCCCCAGGCCATCTGAGGGCCTGGGCCTCCACTAAATCCAGCAACCGATTTTCAGGCCTCACCTTGGCCCCCCACCCCCAGACCCCTCCTCCTCGGGCTTTTCAGGGCACCCTTGCCTGAGCCCCCAGGCTTCTTGGATTGGGAGGGCTGGCAAGCCAGTCTCAGGGTCGTCCCCTGGACCCTGCTCCAGCTCTCAGGCCACTAGTTCTGCGACAACCCCACCCTCCTCCCATCTCCAAAGCAGGGACTCGTCCAAAATACCGTATGACCGTGTCCCTTCCCTGCTCCACAACCTCCCATGGCTCCCTGGCACCCTCCCCTTCACACCCCGTCTTGTCCAGAATTGCAGCCTTGCCCTCATCCCCCATTCTGATCATTTTCCTTAAAAGAGCAACCCCTTGTAGCGCCCTTCCCTGTCCTGCTGGAGTTTTCTCTCTAGACCTCTAGCCACCTGACACTATATTTTACATTATAGCTGCTGGTAATCTCCCAACTAGGATGTCAGCTCCAAGATCTGTGTCTGTCTTGTTCACTGGTATACAATTAAGTGCTCAATAAGTATTTATTCAAACCTCAAACCCAGCTAAAGTGCCCCTAGGCCATGCCCTGCTCAGGGTCCAAGGAGCCACCTAAAGTTGCCTTCACCTTTTGGGACCTCTGCTTCCCCAGCTCCGTTGACATGTGAGTCTAAGGGCCCTTTTCTGCCCCCTCTGGTAAAACCAGGAACAGCAGACACTCACTGCGGACCACTGTGCGCCCCGACCACTGTGCGGCGCCCTCTCCTTTAATCACCTCACTGAGTCCCAGTGAGAGCCCAGGGGGTAGGCAGGTCCTGGTGTCCATGTTTTACAGCCAGGAAAACAGACCCAGAGGTTGGGAGGCCCTTGCTGCTGTCCTATTGCAAGGGGAGGAGGACCCAGGTCCACAGTGTCCCCTCAACACCAGCCCCTCCCCAGTCCTCTGCCTGCCTGGCCCTCCTCCCTCAGCGGCTCAGGGCAGCCAGATGGAAGGGGCCACCTCAATTAATCACCTTGTGCTAATCCTGCCCCCACCCCCAGCGCTGGCTGGGCCGGCCACTGGGCCTGTGGATACCTGGGCTGAAGAGGGGCTGCTAGGGGTGGTGCGTGCTGAGCAGGTGAGCAAGGCAGGCGTGGGGGGAGCTGGGGGTGCAGGGAGCCCACTAGGCAGAGGACTTGGGGGTGAGGAAGCACTAGGAGCAGTGTCCCAGCCTGCTTCCCTGGGGGTCTAGACACAGAGGGAGACAAACAGAAAGATGAAGACATAGAGCGAGAGGAAGTCAGGGAGAGTTCCAAGGGAAAGAGGAAATGGAGGTGGGGGACAGACAAAAGTCAGAGGAAGTGCAGACAGAGGGAGAAAATGAGATCATCTGAAACCGATAGAGACTGAGGGAGGCAGAACGGATTCAGGACATTGTGAGGGAAGAGCCCCTTCACATCATACTCCACACCCTGCAGGTACTGGGGGTCCCCTGCCCTCCCAGCTGGCAGTCCCTCCTGTGGCCTCACCACCATCTGTCCTGCTATACCACCGGGAGGAGGCGAGGAGGAGCCATGTTCCTGAGCCTTGGTGAGGGGCCTGTGGCTGAGGGTGGGGGGCCGGCCCCCTGTGAGGAGGCCCCCAAGAAGCAGCACCGGAGGAACCGCACCACCTTCACCACGTACCAGCTGCACCAGCTGGAGCGGGCGTTCGAGGCCTCCCACTACCCCGACATTTACAGCCGCGAGGAGCTGGCAGCCAAGGTGCACCTGCCGGAGGTGCGGGTGCAGGTGAGGGCACCCCTCCATGACCCAGGGAGGGAGCCAGAGCCGATAGGGACCCTCCCAGTGCACGGGTAAAGAGAGCTGGGAATGCCGCCCGGAGGAGGGGATTTGGGCCTGGGGCTATGACATCTGAGTAGGAGTTTGCCAGCTAGAAAGGAGAAAGGGCATCTCTCTAGGCATCCAAACAGCACGTGCAAGGACGTGCAGGGTAAGTTAGAAGTTTTCCCGTTGAGCGGGGGAGATGGGTGGAAGGGGAGCCGGAAAACGAAGCTGAGGAAGAGCTTGTGAGCCAAGCTTGCACTTCCTGATCGAAGGCCAGGAAAGACCGGAGGGGCCTGGTTAGAGAACGGGGAGGAGGAATGAGAGTCAGAAAAGACTTAGGTGATGTGATGGGGCCGTGAGGCAGGGCCTCTTCTCTCCAGACAGCCCTGAAGCAGAATAAAAAACACGGCACTGCAGCAGGTAGGGAGTCAGGTCCGACAGCAGGCAGAACTTGCGAGGCTCGGAGGCCCGGGAGGGACGCCTCGGAGAGGGGAGGAGCCAACGGGCCCCTCCCCACTTCTCTGGGCTGGAAGCCCCTCTTGCTGCTTCCAGGTGTGGTTCCAGAACCGTCGGGCCAAGTGGCGGCGCCAGGAGCGTCTGGAGCCCGGCTCTGGGGCTGTGGCAGCCTCGAGGCTCCCTGAGGCCCCAGCACTGCCCTTTGCCCACCCTCCGACCATTCCACTGCCTCTGGAGCCCTGGCTGGGCCCCGGGCCCCCTACCAGGCCAGGCCTCACTCACCTCCTGGGCCCAGCCCCAGGGCTGCAGGCATCCTTCGGGCCTCACGCCTTTGGTCCAGCCTTCATGGAAGGCTTCCCTCTGGAGGAGGCATCCATTCGGTTTCTGGCCAAGGAGCACGCACAGGCTGTGGACAGGGCCTGGCCATCGGCTTGAGCCTGGTGTCGACCAGTCTCCCTCTTCGGCCAGTCCCGAGGGCCTGGGGTGACAGATCTCAGCCAAGGTCACGGAGCAGCCCACCAGCAGGCCGGTCTATCAATGAGGAAGGAGACTGCCCATCCCCACCCTCCGCCTGTGGCCACCATGCCAGGTCCCCACCCCACCGCACCCTGCCTTTCCGGGAGACTGGATAGGAGGTGGCCAGAGGGCTTTCAGGCTGGGGAGGCGAGGCGGGTTCTGGGTGGCCTCGAGGGCATCTCTGCCCCTCCTTGGGCCTCAGCGCCCCGTCTGTCTAAGGGAGGTGTGCGGGTGGGTGGATTC